TTAAGTGTACTTATTGTGAAGTAATTATTCATGTCTCGTCTTCATAACTACTTTTGATGGACTCTATAACGATTTGAATTCATGTTAAATCCGACCATTCGTTTTCGAAACGTAWGCRGGTTTTCCCGCCGATTTTCACTTGACTTGTTATTCCATCTACCTCGGTTGAGATATTACTGATTAGTATGAAATATTTTGCCTAAAAACAGATAGATAACAAAGATACCATGTCAGTTTTAAATAGAACAGGTACCACTTAGGCTGCGTTCATAATGTATACCGCAGGGGGGGCAGGTGAAATTTTTAATTTCAAAAAAAAAATTAACACCCTGTCCACAACTAACGAAAGAATTAGCAGCCCCCCCAAGCAAAAATAAAAAAATTCCCCCCCTCCCCAAAAAATAAGGTCTTCCAAGGAAAGTGCAGATACAAATGACGATGATGACAATGATGATGATGACTGGGTGATTGATTTGCGACCAGGCCTKYATATGAATTCGCCAAGGTTGTAAGCCAGTGAGCCCGTGCATTTTTGTTAAGCGGTCATATTTGAAAGTGTAAAGARAAGGGAAAACCCGCAGCTCGCCTTTCACTCAAACAAACAGTACAAGTCGACGTGTTAAACTTATTTACATAACTAAATAAAATGATTATAGAATTAAACCTTTAAGAATTGAATGCTCATATGAAAYATTTTCCACCTTAAATACACACGTGTTTTTCAGAAGGGAATTTAGTCGACCTTTCTTCACGATGGAATTTTGTTTTGATTCCGCGTTTCGACATAAACAGTCGCTATCAAGGCATTACGCGAAAAACCTCAGYCACCGTTCTAKCTCTCGTTGTAAGGTCARARCTAGTAAATGTGTAACCGACCTGTTACATAACGTCAACSTGTTGTATCGGCGTCGAGCATGCTTGCGGCTTATTGYCGAAAATGCGACAAAGGATGAACTACAACAGTTGTTTGTACCAAAAATCACAAACGCTTTAACTCTATTGGAATACGTGGAGCTAAGCT